CACTTGTACAAGTAAACTGGTATGGTGCCCAAAGACCATCGTGGTCATCAGTAAACAACATGATAAGTCCTGCAGACGACGCTCCACCCTCACCAAAATGGCGGCTCCCAACCTCCTACTCTCGCTGTTATCTCACACTATACACACGTTATATATAAGTATCTACATTTGTGTTCACCATAGCGAACCACTAAGCTGGTATGGTGAGTGCAGTCAATAAAAGATGGCCACACACACTCAAAAGACAACGCCACTATCCTCCCTCCCACAGCATTACTCCTCCCTCCATGGTGCACAGCGCCAAATATCACCACAATCCTGCTATTATCAGAACCCAGGTCTGTTTTATCACAGTCAGGGGTCTTCTATAATAATATCGTCGCCACATAATAGCATGAACAAGTATATTATGGCATTTTTAGGCGATGCTGTGGTCACAAGCTGAACAGCAGTGCTGTGAGCTCATGCTGCGTGCGTCAGGCTTGGTAGCTGACTCAATACTGAGGCCCCTAACACCCGGGAGTTTGGCCCACGATTTTATTTAAAAATGGGGTCTGTTTACAAGAGCCCTGATGAAGGTGTGGTGAACCCCGTGTATCCGCGGGCCGTTTAAATCTTGCATAGTACTCCAAAGCATCACATGATGCGATGCGCAATTTACTGCAAGTCGGTCAAAGCATCATATGATGCGATGCGCAATTTACTGCAAGTCGGTCAAAGCATCATATGATGCAATGCGCATTTTACTGCAAGTCGGTCAAAGCATCATATGATGCGATGCGCAATTTACTGCAAGTCGGTCAAAGCATCATATGATGCGATGCGCAATTTACTGCAAGTCGGTCAAAGCATCATATGATGCGATGCGCAATTGAAGGGTTAATTAAGAAGCACATCAACAAACTGGAAAAGGTGCAAAGACATGCTACTAAGTGGCTCCCAGAACTGAAGGGCAAGAGCTACGAGGAGAGGTTAGAGGCATTAAATATGCCAAAACTAGAAGACAGAAGAAAAAGAGGTGATATGATCACTACAGGCATACCTCAGTTTAAGAGTTTAATTGGTTCCTGGAGACGCCTCGTATTCTGAAAACTCGCATTCCGAAGCTAATTTCCCCATAAGAAATAAAGGGAAATGAATTAATCCGTTCCTGACTACCCCAAAAACCCCACATCAAACAAAATTTTTATACCTAATTCATCAATAAACCTACTAAACTATGTTCAAGTTATTACTTGCCTTGCTGTTGAATGCTGTAGGCGTATGGAAGATGGTGAGGAGGTGGGAGGAAGAGAGGAGTTACTGTTTGGAAGGGGAGTCCCCTTCCATTATCACATCAGGCAGTGAGGACTTCACTGGTATGCACACTCTGGCACATTTTGCCTGCATACCACTAGGACTTGCTTGTTTTACTAAGAATTTGTCTAATGACACTTGTTTTTCCCTACAATTTAACACTTGTCTGTAGTAAGACATCACATTATCATTTAAAAGGTCAATGCAACGGCCTGCTACAGCTTTATCTGGGTGAGTTTTTTCAACAAAACTTTGCAGTTCTTCCCATACTTCACACATTTTCTTAATCAAGAAGGGACATCCTCTACTGCCTCTACTCACAGCTATTTTCTTAGGTTGAACCTTACCAATGGCTTTCTTGAGACCCATGGCAAGATATATAATGACAACTTTTATGCTCAAATGGCCAAAAACCCGATAAAAAACTGTAAATCCTTGTGAAGAATTCGGGTGGGATAGTCACTGGACACGAGACACTGGTAAACTGAGGCGCGATCGCCATGCCACCACGAGCCAGTCGGCCTGTACACGTATCAACAAACTCGCGTCCCGAGGTTACCCTCGCCTTCCGAGACATATTTTTGGAGTAAATCCTGCTCGTCTTCCGAAAAACTCGCATACAGGGACACTCGCATTCCGAGGTACCACTGTACATACAAAATAGTAACAGGAATTGATAAAATCGATAGGGAAGATTTCCTGATACCTGGAACTTTAACCCTCAAACCGCGCATATCATATATAAATGATATCAGTGACAAAACCGAAATCGCGCACATCATTTATATATGATTTCGTGTCTAGCGCTATAATTTAAACGCCCCGCCTGGGATAGGGGCAGCTATAGTACAGCCACGACCGATAGTTGCCAGATGCCACCTAGAAAAAAAATCCAGGCCAACATTCTTGTGTGTTACAGCGTCAGTATTGAGCAAGCCACCAAGGCTGGCGCACGCAGCACGAGCTCACAGCACCGCTGTTCAGCTTGTGACCACAGCATCGCCTACAAATACCATAATATAAATGATACTGCTATTATTTAGCAATGATAGTATTACTGAAGCCCCCTGACTGTGATAAAACTGACCAGGATTCTGATAATAGCAGGATTGTGGTGATATTTAGCGCTGTGCTCCATGGAGGGAGGAGTAAGGCTGTGGGAGGGAGGGTTGTGGCGTCGTTTTCTGACTGTGTGTGGCCACCATTTATTGACTGCACTCACCATACAAGCTTAGATGTACAGTTATGGTGAACAAAACATGTAAATGCGTATATATAACGTCTGTGTATAGTGAATAAATACAGAAGGAGTATTGTGGGAGGTGAATGAGGGTGAGTGAGGTGGTGTTGAGGGAGGGAGTGGCAGTGAGTGGCTCGCTGGTGTTTGGCGGTCACTCCTCGTTGCTTTTTGACTCACAAGACCAACTTAGTAGTTCGTTATGGTGTACAAAACATGCAAATACTTATATATAATCTGTGTATATAGTGTAACAACAGCAAAACTATTTGTTTATTGTTTTATGAACATAATAATTGAATCACTAATATGCACACCATAATTTTGAGTACAGCGATGGTTCACACATTTTATAATATAAATATACCACAATTCACTGTATGGAATAATATTACTGCAAAAAAAACTAAGAAAAAATCAATCAGAGACATTGAAATAATTAGGTAATAATATATTTGTGGCAACTGCCGTCTGATAGCTCAGGCGGAGTAGACCTCGTCTGGCGAAGGCTCTGCCAACGCCCCTTTTTTGCCACACTTCCCTACCTTATTGCGGCTAAAATATGCCACCTACGATTTTTTTGTTATTTTTCCGTGACCAGGGAACAAAAATTAACACTTCTATAAGACGAAAGAATTTTTTGGATTTTTTTTTGTTGTTGTTGCGCCTGTGGGTGTGAATTTCATTTGGGCCCCTAGCGGTTTGAGGGTTAAGAACAAGAGGTCATAGATTTAAACTAGCTAAACACAGATGCCGAAGAAATATAAGAAAATTCACTTTCGCAAACAGAGTGGTAGACGGTTGGAACAAGTGAGGGGAGAAGGTGGTGGAGGCCAAGACCGTCAGTAGTTTCAAAGCGTTATATGACAAAGAGTGCTGGGAAGACGGGACACCACGAGCGTAGCTCTCATCCTGTAACTACACTTAGGTAATTACGAGCCGTGCCACATGCCTGCACAGCTCTTCCCACGCCCCCCCCCCCCCACGGGACGGGGGGGGGGAAGGCGGGAGGGAGCCCAAACGCTCACGCCGGCGATCCACACTGCAGTTCCTTGGCTGATGAGATCGTTCATAGTCATGTGGCTCCAGCTGCAGTCCTCTCTGTGCTGTTATTGGTTTCAGTGCTGCTCTTATGGTGGCTTGTGGGCTGGGAGTAATTCTCAGGTACTCGGGCTGTATGTGCTTCCCCGAGTCCCTGTAAGTACCACCCCCGGGGCTTGGGGTTACCTTCCACAAGTCACTTTGGGCCTACCTCTGTTGGCCTTTTGCTGCTTGGCGTTTGGTCGCTCCAGGTGTGTGTGGAGGTGGGAGGGTTCCGCCCTTGTTAGCCTTGGGGTAAGTGGTAGTTATTGCACTGGTGGGGCGTAGGGTACTGCGTAGCTAGTTTTCACCTTTAACAGCGGCCGGCTCTGTTCTCTTCGGGTACGTTGTCCTCTCGCGAGGTTTTTCTTTTCTTTTTGTTATTGCCTGGTGAGGGGGGTCTTCCTTGTGTTCTTCCTCCCCCGTATATTAGGGTCGTTTGTGTGGTGGCGCCCCCTGCTTCGCCCTTATGAGTGGACACGTCCTGTGAGTTCATCTTTTAGCAGTTTGCTTGGTAGTTTGGGGCGCCAATTAGCAGTACCCTGCCTGGGATAACCCTTAGCAGACCCAATCTAGTGGCCCTGGGAAAACCCCACGGGGGTACTCAGGTCCAATGGAGGAGACCCCTACTCTCCCTCTCGCTTTGCGCGAGTTTGAGGGTTGCTCTGTCCCCTTATCTCAGGGCGACACTCATTATTTTTGCCTCCGTCATGCTGCCTGTTGGGTCGGTGACGCATTTGACCCAGAGTCCTGCGAGCTCTGTTGCTTGTTTCTGACTCAATTCACCCAATCTGATGATTTTCTTCGGGTGCAGGCAGCTCGCGCATTGCAGGATAGGTTTAGGTTATTGCAACGCGCTCGGGTTGTCGCTTCCCCAGACGCCCCGAGGCTGCTCCGCTTTGCCTAGAGGGACTCAGACTTGGAGGTGTTGGTCGCTTCGACCTTGGTTCCGTCCACGCCCGCTCGTTCTTCCCCTTCAGTGGTTCATTCGGTCCCCCCCCCCCCCCTCCTCCTTGCTTCTGGCTCTTAAGCATCTGAGGGCTTCGGGTTCGGGCAGGGTTTAGAGGCTTCTGAGACTCGGGCAGTTTCGGGGGTTGACCCGTCCGGGGTGGCGACGGAGGCATTCGAGCCTCCGGGACTCGCCCAGATAATGGCATTTCATTACATTCAATGCTTTGTTTTTTTTAAGCTTATGCATACAATGTTCCTCATTTAGTTGAAAACAAAGTAAGCATAATGGGTAACTTCAGAGATTTCTGTATTTTAGTAAAAGTGTTGCTAAAGCTTTCTGTGTGCATTAGGTATACACTGTCTCATACAAAAATTATAATCATATGTAAATAACTTGTTTTGAGAATAAGATCATCATAGTCATTTAATATTCTAGGAGGATGATATACAACATGAAGTAGGAGAAACTCCAGACAAGCAAGAAGGTAATGAAGACCCACTGGAGGGGCCAAGCTGGTTGTTCAGTGAGAGTGTAACAAACCGCTCGTCTTGCAGTGCAAAAGGACGAGGTAGAGGTGGACGACGAGGTAAACTAAAGACTAATGCTCGGTGTACCTCGTTGCAATCTAGAAATTCTGTTGTGGTTGAATCAAGTGACAGTGAAGAAGATAATGGTGTTTCAACTTTAAAGAACAGCAAAGTTACTTCATTCAAGAAACCATTAGAGATTGCTGATTTTGCTAAAGAAAATTCAACAAATAGCTTAGAACATAGTTACCTGGCTTCCCCAGCTACTATGTTTGCTAGATTGGAAGATTTAGAGGCTAAAGCAGGCCGTCAGTCAAAAAGATCTAAAGGGCGTTCACTTAGGGCAAACAGAGAGAGCATGGAGAGAGTACATGATGTTATCCCTGAGAAGCAGCTTAGAAGCTCGCCCCGAAGTAAAGAGCTTCTGCGAGGAATGAATAATTCTGCTGTGGCAAAAACTGACGAGTCTTTAAATCTTCATTTGGATGCAACTGTTGGCAGTAGTAGTAATACTGAGCCTTTAAATGATTCTCATCCTCAAGACACTGTTCATATGCCTCCTCCAATCCTCCCAGGGCCCACTAAGCAAGCAGAATTTTGGGTAAATGACAATGACCTAACATGTGTGCATAACATAAGCATGGATATGACAGAGCCTATTTCAAAAATCTTTGCTCAAGCTGCTGTTGAGGCATTAAAGGAAGAGAAAGGCAAGGAGGTACAGTTGGAGAGAAGATTCTTTAAGGCAGAATCAAATAAACAGCTTAAGGTTCAGCCAGAAGTGGCTGAAAAGACCCCATTTGATGTGTCACAGATGGATGCAACTCTTGTAAATATTCCTCCTTATTCCTCACAGAGGACTGTAGAAAAAGAAAATTTACCGCCACAATTTGAAAATCACAGTAATGCGGATGCAGCTTCAGTGATGTTCGTGAACCTGCGAAGAGTATCGGTTGTTCTTGAAGATGTACTGAAGAGTCCTCGAAGCACAGAAAAGTTCACGCCACAAGTGAACCTTGCCTTGTCTTCTGGCTCTGGAAGTTCTCGATGTTCCTCTAGCAGTAGAAGTCGAAATAAGCAACATCAGAAGTCCACAGCAGAAAGTCCAATGAAGAGTGAACCTGTAAGAAGAAAGATGTTGACATATTCTTTGCAGATAGAGGAAGATGATAAAGATTTAGAAGATAGCGATGATGAGGCATGGATACCTTCTGGCATCAGAAAGAGTAAAACATGCAAACGAAGGAATACAACCACTGGGAAGGTACAAGGGAGGAATTCTTCTGTTGGTAGAAAAAGATCTGCAACGGACATTGTTCCAGAGCGTTTAAAAAAAGTAGGCCGTAAAAAGAAGTATGTGAACAGTTCTGAATCTCCAAGAACAACGCCAGACATTAGCCTTGATGATAAAAATGGTGAGACTGTAGATCATGATAAAGAAGACAAACGTGGTGACAAAGCATTAAGAAATGTGATTGTGGATAAAACTGTAGACTCCGAGAGTACCACTCCAAATATTATGGCTGACTGCTATGTTAAAGTCCATCGAGCATCTTTGAAAAATATCAGAGACTCTGTTACTAATCCTGAAGAATCTCTTCTCCTAAAACTTGATGATAGTAATATTTCATTATCACCAATACTGCCTTCAAAATCCACAGAGGACCAGACAAAGAAAGCAGGAAAAAAACAGGCTACAGGTATTCAGGTGGATCAGTCTCCTATATCAGGTAGGTAGCTGAATATGGTGGTAGTAATATTCAATATTATCAACAACTACATAACAAACACATGGTATTCATATGTATTATAATACATAAGATTGTGCATTGAAAATCACCATAATGCGATGAAACAGTGAGTAAATGTTGAGGGTGTATGCTGGAATAGAACCCGTACCCCTGATCACGTCAGGTACACAGAATACCAACTGGACCATAATGGGCTAAAAGTATCTCAACCAGAAGTACTTCTTGATTTTGAGTTTGGAAAGCACTGCCTGGTGCTTTCAGGCACTTGAGGCGCCTGACAGCTGGGTGGACAGCGCTTTGGATTCGTAGTCCTGAGGTTCTGGATTCGATCCCCGGTGGAGGTGGAGACAAATGGGCAAAATGTTTCTTTCACCCTGATGCCCCTGTTACCTAGCAGTAAATAGGTACCTGGGAGTTTGACAGCTGCTACGAGCTGCTTCCTGGGGGTGGAGGCATGGTCCAGGATCGGGCCACGGGGATACTAAGCCCCGAAATCATCTCAAGATAACCTCAAGATAACCTGGTACCATAATGCAAGTTTTAAGAGATACCCGCCCATACTCAGATGTTGGCAGTAGTACTTCTGATCGAGATACTTTTGGCCCATCATGGTCCAGTCAATAGTGTGTGCGCTTGACATGGCCATGGTCTAGATTCTGTTGTACAGCCGCAATATTTATATGGCACATAAGATGGTATATTGAACTTCACTTCTTTTGTCTCAGTAATAATTTCTATACATTACACAGAGAAATCACATTGACATGATATATCGATGAACAAGTCCAACAGGAGCCTTGATGAGGGTTCGAACCTGTGCACTGAGTGTTCGCAGGCATGCTCTAGTCGACTGCACCCATTTTACGACATGGTAAAATAACTAGTTAAGTTGTACTCCAGGTTGCAATTCTTTTACCATGTCGTGGTGCAGTCGACTAGAGCGTGCCAGGGAACGAGGCGCATAGGTTCACACCCTGGTCGAGGCTCCTGTTGGATTTAATCAGAATACTCCAGATGTATTATAGTACAACAAACATACATTAGAGTTACATTTGTCATCTTGCTTCAGACAAGAGAGACTAAGTTAAATTTCCCAAAAAGTTGTCAAAACATAAAGCATGTATTTGTATTTTAAACTGCACAATTCCTAGTCACTTTTTAAACAGTCATTTCATGTAGGCTATTGAGAAGGCCTCTGCTTATTTATGTGGGGAGCCCCTTCGGCTCCCTGGAACTATCGGGCTAATTTACAATTCAGTAGACCAGGGCATTAGTCATAGGAGTTCAGCTTACCGGGGATCACGAGCCAGAACCTGGCCCCTTCAGAGAGGCACAGTGAGCAATGTCCCTGGAAAACGCCCCCTGTGGTTTGGGGTTTAACTTATTTGCCATCAACCAAAGTTAGGTACCCAGAAATGTAGGCATAACAAAACAGACCCCACATGGGTAAGAAAATTGCAACCAAAAATTGAACAGAGGCAGAACTCCCTCCAATCCCAAGGAAACAAGCAAATGTTACACCCCACCGCCGTGCCGCTCGTCCGTGTGAAACCCGAACCAGCGACCCAGCCATTCCAGTTCATCTGCTAATGCAGTCTTGGGTGGTCGTCATCTCTGGCCACAATTTCCTACACAGTGTTTTGCCTTAGTGGTGTCTTCTGCTGTCCGTGGTGTGGTGGGCAGGTGTACCTGAATTATATCAGAGTGCTGCATGCGCTTGGGGCAGCCTTTCCTAAGTGCTCTGTGAGTGCTACCTTTGTGTGTAAGGGTTATCATCCCTGATGCGTTCGGGACCCCATTTCCATAAGGGTTCTTGCTGCTCGGCATCTACCCTGCCCTTGGGGCCAGCTGAGGCTTCGTGGCCCTTGTTTGACCTTGGGTTAGGAGTGGTATTGTTGCTGGTTGGGGCATCAAGGTGCTGCACAGCCAGCTTATCTACGCAGCAGCTGGTTCCTGTTTTCTCTGGGGACGTTGTACTTTTGCATGGTTTTCTTTTCTTTTTGTTTGGTTTGCCTGGTGTGGCTATTGGACCACTTATAATAATTTGGTGGCCCTCCACTAGGCCCCCGTGATTGTACATGTCGCAGGGGTTTCAGTGTTTTGATCTTCCCCTTGTTAGCTTTGGTTCTGACCAGTTAGCAACACCTTGCCCGGGCTTCCTATAGCAGTCAGCCTATGAAAACCTGGAAAGCCTGGAAAACCCTGTCAAGTATCCGTGGACCTATGTATGTGTCTTCCGAGTCCCAGCTCGCCTCGTGCGAGTTTGAAGGTTGCTGTGTGCTGTGGGTTGCGGAGTTTCATGCTCTCCTCTGGCGCAGGGGCTTTTGCTCCTTTGATCCTGGTAGACGTTTTGTTTGTTTGCAGCTGTCTCCTCCTTTTCTGGGGAAGAATGAGATGGCAGGCTTCCTGTGGGGTATGTGGGTTATTGATGCTTGGTTGGTCAGGCCGGGGGTACATCATGTTTTGTGTCCGATAGTGGCTTTATGCCGTTACCTGCATGCTGTGGGCTCTGTGTCCAGAGATGCAGTGTTGGTTGATTCGGTATCCCTCATTCCTTGTTCCAGGGCATGGGTCTTTCAGGTCGTCCACAAGGTTGTTCAGTCTAGCCAGCCTGCAGTCTACCCTTGTGCCCGTGGTGTTTGGAAGTTAGTGGCTCTTACTGTTGTGTTTGGGAACATGTCTTGGGTTGACATTCAGGCACGGGGGTTTTTGGAGGTTGAACAGGGTCCTGGCTGCCCGTTATCTAGTTAATGTGCCGGGTGCTCAGCAGTCTTGTGTTGCTTTGGTTCAGCAGTTGCAGCCAGTTGTCTCGTCTTCATCATGAGTCACGCGGTGCGGCTGCCTTCCGAGTAACTCCCTACTTTACTGCTATTTGGATAATGTCACGTGAAACAGTATTGCAGCTATACTGGGGCAGATGTAAAGTGACTCTCACTCTTATCGAATAAAAAAAAATGCTGCTCTGGCCCTTGCGGTGTGAAAGTTGCAGGATTAAACAAGAAACAGATGAATAATTAACAAAATTTACCATAATCTTAAATACAGGTTCAGTATTAATAAACATAACAAAAAAGGTACTTGAGAACACTTGGAGATCATACGAGAAAATACAAAATATAAAATGTGCACAAAATGACGTTAATGCAAAAGACAGGTGAACTGAAGATATTTACAGTACAACACCACCACCAGCACACAGCGAATCAGGAAGCCAACGATGAGTGGAGGAAGCAGTGATGATTCCCAGAGCACCCAGAAGTGACTGGCTTCAGTCGAGAAAATCCGGAGTACAGTATATATACCCCTGTTGGTGACGTCACGTCCTATGGCAATGACGTCGGTAAGAAGAGACCGGCGGTACAATAGCTAGTTAATGGTCGCTAACAGCTCACCAGCAAGTGCACCTGGCGGGGGATCATGAGGCTTGTGGAGGGTGACGGGAGGGCCTACTCAGATGGATGTCTGGGTCAAACGTCTGGTTTTGCTCTCATAGAGATGGATTGTAGAGCAATGGGATGGAAGGTAGTAGGAAGAGGCAATTTCCACTGCTATATAGGAGAATTACGTAACAGTTGCTAGCTCCAGGGAGTCGACGGGTCTCCCCACAGAAAACCAGCATTGAATGTAATGAAACACCATTTTCTGGATTAGTTCCGGAGGCTCCCTGGCACCCTCCTTCCTTCCGGTCAGCTGCTTTTGTTTCCGTTTGTCAGTCTCCAAACTTGTGGTCTGGCAGCCGGCTCGGTGGGGCAGAGCCCTCCCCCCACCCCTCTCAGGAAAGAGGGGGAGTGCAAACGAGTAGTGCGCCGTATGATGACGCCTTGCTTGTTATTTTGTTTTCCTTGGGGGAGGGGATGGGGGGGGAGTTTCTAGGCTGTGTTCAGTCTCAGGTTGCAATTTTTCTACCAGGAGAGGTCTGTTTTGGGGCATCTACCTTTCTGGGTGCCCAACCCCGATCAATGGCAGACATGAATATACTCTCAAAGAGTGGAGTTTTCATTGGCTATTGCTCCCTTCGCCTCTCTGAAGGAACCAGGTTCTGGCTCGTGGTTCCCGGTAGGCATATGGACTCTATATGACTTAAGTCCCAGGCTAATGATGTTAATATCAGTCTGATAGCTCCAGGGAGCCTCTGGGACTCGCCCAGAAAATGGCATTTCATTACATTCAACGCTGGTTTTTCACCTCTGGCCTGTTCATGCTCCTCCTGAATTGTCCTGGTCATTAGTTCATGTTCTCACCTTGATATATTTCTCAAGACCTTGTTTTTGTTGGTTCTCATCTGTGGCTGTAGGGTTGGGGAGCTTCATGCTCTTTTCTGGAGATGGGGTTTTGACCTTTTGGCCCAGGTGGATGTTTTATTTGTCTGTGGTCGTCTCGGTTTTTGGCGAAGAATGAGTCAGCAGGCTTCTGTAGGGGGTTCTTTGGTGATTGATACTTGGTTGGTTTGGCTGGCATTGCATCATTTGTTTTGTCTAGTGGCAGTCATTTGCCACTATCTCCACGCCACCGATTCTGCCCCAATGAATACTTGATGGGTTGATCCTGTCTCCATGGTCTCCTGTTCTAAGGTTCTGCAGTCTACTCTCATGCCCATGATGTTTGCAAATATGCTGCAATGGTGGAAGTGGTCTCTTTACATGTCCTGGGCTGATATTTGGGCCCGAGGGTTTTGGCAGTCTAACAGGGTCTTGGCAGCCTGGTATTTGGTCAGTGTCCCTGGGCCCAGTTGTTTCTTGGTTGCTTTGCGCCATGTCTCCTGTCTTACTGTCTCTCCTTCACCTTAGTACATTCCATCTCTTACTCCACCTCCCTGGTAAGTCCCCCTGTTTTTTCTTGTGGTTAGGGAACCACCATGGGGCTCTCCAGAAAACCAGCATTGATGTAATGAAATGCCTCTTTCTAGATTCAGCCCCAGTGTCCAACATTCTTGTGCGCACCCTCATTTCCTTCCTGTTCCATGAAGTGGACCATCGACA